GGGGGCGAAGTTCTACCAGGTCTCGTGCCTCCCCCCCCCTCTTTTATTTACATTCATAGGAAACGATAGGATAATAGAGTATTCGGCACGTGGCGGCTTGATGTCCTTCTTGTCAGGTCAGCTCCAGCGTGTGTTGTCCTTGTCCTCGGCTGGTACAGGGGGAGGTGGATGGCTTGGTGGCCATGATGCAAATGTGCCCGCCCAAACATAGTCGGTTCAGTCAACAGGTTGTCATCAGCCACAACTCTAATAGCGCTTGCGGGTGTCGACTACCCACTGCAATGGAGAGTGCCATCAGCTTACGGAGTTTATTTTTTTTCGGATAACTACCCTGGCGTTGTTGTATAGTACTCATGTTGTCTTTGGGACAACAGAAGCGGATACAGGATGCAGCTTGTTCAATTAGCAGCAATACAGCTTGTTGCACGTCTTTTCTTGGCTTCTCTGCCACGCCACTCCCTCCCTGCTGTTGACTGGAGGTGCGGAAAGAGGCATGTCCAAAGAGGGGGTGAAGCTCACTCCTCAAGAGAAGAAAAAACACAATCCCCCCCCAAGAATCGCACGTCGACCACCGACTCCCCCAACACAACGAAATCCGAATGCAAGCAGGCTTCGGCGGGAGCGGGAGAATTGACAAGGAAGACGAGGAGAACAGCGGGTTTTCTACCATCCCGGTTATGAGATGTCACCACTTGTTTTGTAGCCTTTTTTGCCTGCGTGGGGGGGGGTACATGGGACGAGCGCTAGCAGATGGTAGAGAAGCTCCGCGGCTACCAGGCCCCCAACACGGTTGGAGGGAGCATATGCTTGTTTTGGACGTTGGGGTGGAATCAAAGCCATGAAAGCCATGCATGTCGTAGTTGTCAGACCATTGACCACGCATTCCTACGAGACCGGGACGGATTTCGTCACCGGACCAGGTTCGCTCACGCATTACCAAGAGCGAAACTCCGTGAGGTATTCGGCGAGTCGCATCGCCGGGGGGGGGGGGGCGAACGCCAACTGAGTAATGTACTGGAACAGCCTTGAATACGCTGTTTAAGAATAAACGATCGCTACGGGTGTTTTTGTCTCCTTCTACCGCTACACGCCCTTTAGCCCACATGGAGCCGAAACAGGCTTTTTTTTTTGTCCGTTACCAGCCAGTGGACCCAAACGTCAGCGCTCCTAATTGTCCACTCTCTGTGGCGCTTTGGAATCCCCAGTTGGTGCAGGGGCGTCATCGTTGAAGAGTCAATTTTTCATGAAATTAGAGAATCGGTGCTCGCGTGTTTTAGGCCGCCAGATTTATCCAGCCCTTTAGCGACTTGTGCAACATGGCATTTTCGGTAATTGCTGTGTTGGGCAGGTAATAAATACTACTACTGCGTGTTCATGTTTTGAAAGGATCGGCGTGCTCGCAGTAAGTAGAGATCTTGCACAAGGTGTATTCTATGCATGTACAACGTACATGTTCCTCGTGAGGCGGATTGCATGGTAACTAGTGGTGTGGCACTCGCGCGCTCAAGCTTGGCTTGGCTCGCAGGAAACACAACCCTGGGTCGCTTTACCTTTCCGCTCCCCATCACCATTCATTCATGTTTTTCACCGCCTCTCTCTCGACCATGAACAACAATTCGCCAGGCCCTCTCTCTCTCCCGGGGGGGAGGGGGCGGGGCGAGCTTCTGTCGGGGCCGGGGGGATCTTAGAACCACGAGGATTCGGTCTGTCTGACGGTTGGTCGTGGACAGTGAGTAGTGGTGTCGTTAGCGTAGTGACACTCGTTATTGCTGGCGGGGGGAGTCGCAGTTTCCGACAGACGAGCAGTAGGGAGCGCCATGAAAAGGGAGGGTGAGCGAGGTGGGTACCCTTTCGTGGGACGCCGACGCTGCGCTGGTCATGATTGATTTCATCGAGAGAATATCAATCGCGGACGACTCTTCGAATGAATGTGGGGATTTGGGCGACGAGTTGAGAGGGAACACGCCATCGAGAGAATATCAATCGCGGACGACTCTTCGAATGAATGTGGGGATTTGGGCGAAGAGTTGAGAGGGAACACGCTGGTCATATGACTGATTTCATCGAGAGAAAATCAACCGCGGACGACTCTTCGAATGAATGTGGGGATTTGGGTGAAGAGTTGAGAGGGAACACGCCAAGAGAGAGAGAAAGAGAGAGCTCGACATCTGATGTTGACATTGATTGGAAATCGAGCGAGCGAGAGTAGTATGGAAGACACAGACAGTCAGTCATCGTCAGTCCTCCGGGATCACAGCCTGACGATAACTTAGTTAGTTGTGTTTTTGTTATCTCTCCCTGCATCTTCACTTGGTTTTCGGGAGGATCACCTGCTAAGAAGCAACCGTTAAACGAGTGAGAGACATTGCTGCGTGCATTCATTCACGCGAGCAGCTTGTGTTTGCGGTATCTATTTGTGTTCGTCTCGCGAACCCCCATATTAGTCTATAGACTATGCATACTATTTGTTTTTTTTTGTCTCGAATACCAGGACAACTTGATATATATATGTGTTCAACATCGGTCTTTATTGCTGGACAACAACTTCTTCTGTTCTGTTGTTGTCGATGCAGCGATCCTTCGTCTGTTCCTCTTGCCGCCCCTACAACTCAAGTCACGTGGTGGCCTGATTGATGGTATGGGCTCAATCAGTCAGGCGCATTCCCTGCTCGACATTCTTCCCGAAATACAGCGGGACACAGCGTAAGGAGGTGGATTCAAGAGTAGGTTTCAACGTAGCTTTCTTTGTGTTTTTGTGTTTCGCCTTGCCCACCCTGCCGTGCCATCAAATGCAAGAAAAATATCTTCGTTTGAATTACTTTTTTGTTCACAACGTGTCACGTTCCGTGCTTGCGTCTCTTCGCTCTTGCGTGGTCATCCCGTCGCTGACGGTTTCTATGCTACACCAGACAGACCCACCCGCGGTGCTTATCTTTGCGCCTGATGTTCCACGGAAGCAGGGCCAACCAACGTGCCTACCGCAGCATTCATTCAGCCTGTGCTAACTTCCCAGGGGCAACAGGCCAGCCAACTACAAAGAAACCCACCGTGCCAGCCCCGGCTTCCTCCCCACCCATCCCGCAGCAAAGTGTCAAGCAGGTTCACGCAAGGACCGACTGGTTGCTGTTTGTGGTAGTACATAATATCTCGAACGGATAGATAGTCTTTTGTTTACGTATCTACACATGGACTATGCAAGAAAAATACACACGCACACACACAGTAAAACATTCCCAAAAACCACACCGTCTACGCAGACAGCGTGTGTTGCCACCCAAAAACCTACACCTGGTGGCGATGAAAGATGGCCTAAACCCCCAGAAAGAAACAAGTACCTCTTACCCGCGCTTTGCCGCGGACAGAAATACTGGGGACGCCTTGAATCTTCAAAAGTCTCGCGCTTATCTCTCTTGCTTTGTCGAAGGCCCGGCCGATGCACGTCGGTCGGGCGTACGACAGACAGGCAGACTTCCTCCTCCGCCTACAGCGTGCTTGCTTGTGCTGTCGCTACACAATCGTCTTCCACGCAGTCGAAAATAATCAACAGTTTTATCCAATAGAAATTGTGACGAACCAAGATGACCAATACCAGTTTATCCAATACAATTATTTGTGACGAACCAAGATGACATATTTCCAACCTCCCCTACTAAACGAATGTAAGATGTGTCGTTTGTGTTTTTCTTGCTCCTCTTTGAAGCCAGCTCGATCGATCGCGTCGTCACCAGCCCTGCTGGCGAAGCATGCTCTGCTCCGTGAGGTACCTTCGCGGCAGTCCGCTGCCGCCGCGCCCGCTGCTGCCGTTGCCCGAGTTGCCGCGCGAGGACCCGCGAGACCGCGAGCTCATCCCGCCCATCATCCCGGCGTTCCACGACATGTCCTCCGCAGTGGCGCTGCCGCCGCTGGCACCTCTAGCGCTGTGGCCGCTGCCTCCTCCTCCTCCTCCTCCGCTGCAACCGGCGGTGGCTGCGTAGTAGCCCGCCGCGCCATTGCCGCCGGCGTACCCGGACTGGAGCCAGTAGTTGGTCCTGTCGACGGAGACCTCTTCCTCTTCCTCGTCCCCGTCCCCCCGGCTGAAGTCGTCGTTGTCGAAGTTTCGCCCGTTCCTCCTGCTTCTCTGCCCGCTGCTGCTGGCCGCGGTGGGGGAACGCGGGGAGGAGGAGGAGAAGGAAGAGAAGTTGCTGCCGGACGTGACCTCGTCGTGGCTGGGGCGCCGCTGCCGCCGCCCGTACCGGTGCTGCTGCTGCTGCTGCTGCTGCTCCTTCTTCTGCGGGTACCGGTGGTACTGGTCGATGTCTGCGGCATCCCCCCCCCTGCTGCTCCCGCCACCGCTGGCGCTGGCGCTGGCGTCTCTTTTTCTGTTTGGTGCCGCCGTCGACGAGCGGTTGGCCGCCCCGGAGGGGTGGTCGCGGGGGGTAGAGCCACCGCGGCCCGTTTCCGCGGAGATGTAGTCGTCCATGAACGGATCCCCTCGGGTTCTGGAGCTGCTGCTGTCGAAACGATGCGAGCGTTGTGTTTCCGACAGGAAAACAGCATTAGTACAGGTTAGAGGGCTTTGGGGAACTGGGAGAAGCGTAGGTCGCAGCCTTGCGGGGGGTGCGCGCGGTGCGAGGGGTGGGGACAGTAGTGGTCGGCGGCAAGTAGCGCTAAAACAGAGTTCGTCATCTCTGTCTGTCTGTCTGTCTGTCTGTCTGTCTCCCCCCCCCCCTCTCTCAATGTTTCTTACGAGCATTGACCGCGCTAACCGGCTGAGCAATGAAAAGATGAGTGTGTGTGCATGCCTATCCCTCTGTCTCTCTGTCTCTCTGTCTCTGCCTCTCTTTCTCTGTCTCTCTGTCTCTCTGTCTCTGTCTCTGTCTGTCTCTCTGCCTCTCTCTCTGTCTCTCTCTCTCTCTATATATATATATATATATCTCCACGATGTACTAATGTATAAACTTAGCATTCAACGCCTACAACGATATGCAGTGCGTGGAGTTTTCTCCTCGGTAGTCGAGAAGGGGGGGGGCAGAAAAAGGTACTCACCTCTCCTCCGACGAGGAAACATCGTCCAGACTCTCGAAATCGTTCCGGTCTCGCCGCCCTCCTGCCCCCTCGGCATTCTTCCCCGTCCCGCGGTGGGAAAAGCTACCATGCCTACCGCCGCCATCGCCGGCGCCGTTGCCACCCGCGCTATATCGGTGCTGCTTCGATCTCCTCGCACCGCTGCCCCGACTGACCTCGTGCCCCGCCCTCCGCCCGACGACTCTGCTGCGCGATCTCCAGTGTCCTCTCACGTTGTCCTTCTCGTCGGAGCTCGCGGTGTCGGAGAGGGCCCCGTGGTCGCCGGTACCGCCGCCGCCGCCGCCGCCGCCGCCGCCGGCAAGCTTGGCGGTGCGAACCCCGCGGACGTTAGTGGGAGGGGGTCCGCTCGGCATGGGAGGTTTTGATCTGCCGCTGCCGCCACCGCCGCCGCCGCTACTTCCGCCTCTCGCGCCGACTCCGGTGACAACCGTCCACCGTCCGTGTTCGGGGCTGTTGCTGCCGCTGCTCCTACTGCTGATGGTGCTGGTGGTGCTGACGTTTAAGGAGGTCTCGTTGACGCTGCTGCTGCTGCCGCCGCCGCCGCCGCCGCCCTCCTGCTGTGAGACGCGCGAACGGGTAGATGGCGGCTCCGAGATGGGCACGACCTTCGTGGAAAAACGCCTCGCCCCCGTCCCGTTATCGCCACCGCCGCCGCCGCCACCGCTTCCGTTCTTTTCGGGAAACTTTCCCAGCCCTCTCCCTCCGACGATGCTGATCCCCCTCGGATCCCGGGGGGTTATCTTGAACTTTTGGGCGGGCTGCCGCTCGGAGTAGAACCTGGTCGGCTTGCTGTTGTCCCCAGCGGCGCCGGTGCTGCTGCCACCGCCGCCGGCCCTGTTATCGTGGTCGTTCATGAGGGCCCTGATCTTCTTGTTGATCTCTCGGAACTGGCTTCCCTCCCCCTTCCACTCTCCCTCCCGGCTGTTGCCGCCGCCGCCACCGCGATCCCCCTTTTGGTGCCACCCGGTGGTCTTGCTGTCGTCCCCTCTACCGTCACCGACGTTGGCCCCCGTGCAGCCCTCCCCCATCAACTTGAGCACCGTCCGTCGCCTGCGAGCAATAATGCGGCGGTAAAAGGAAAAAAGAAACGGTTTCAAGGGAGGGTGGGTTCGGTTTTGTTCGAACCCCTCGTCGTAGTCAACGAGCTACAGCGGCCCATGTAGTAATCTTTTTATCTCGTGCTCGACCTGGCCAAACGCTCCACCCTAAGCTTGCAAGCGTGTGGACGGGGCGAAGCCTTTCCTACTCCTCGCCGAGGAGCGTGGCTCGCGAGCCTTCTGCCCCCGACCCAGGCTTCGAAATCGGAACGTTAAAAACATACAAAGGCCTGAGCTCCCCTCCTGGCACCAGCTGTGTTGCCGCTCTGGACCCTCCTCCGGCCAACCACGGGAAGGAAGCAGCCGCCGCGGCCGTCGCGGGGGGTGGGGGGGGAGGGCATCTGTCTGGGCCTGGAGACCGCCGAGAGGTTGCGGATATCAATCACCCCGCGCTTGTCTCCGGAAGCTTCTCGTGCGCACGTCCACCCCGATGGCTGGAGAAGACTATCTAGCCCAAGTGATTGAGATAAGGAGACTCTTCATTTTTTGTTTTGTAAATACAACCCAACGACTGCATCTCTATCCATACATGAGGGTCCAGGATAAAACGGCAAGTAATCCTTAACGTTAGCGGGGTGATGCCTGTGTTTCTACGATTCCCCGGGCAGCATACCTCCCCTGTGGGTGATAAGATCTACAAGACAGTACCTGTACTTTTGTGCTCGTGTCTGTGTTTTCCTCGATCGTGTCAGGCCTTACAAGGCAGCAGCATGTTTTCTCTCTTTGCTTGTGCGTGTGTCTCCCTCGCGCGTGTCTCTGTCCCACCTGTTCTTAGCCGAGGGGGGGCCCTGAAACGTGCCTCCGTGCACCAGGTCCGTCTGGAGGGTAAGGCCCCGTATCCACCTGCTCTCGTCGTTGGCGCTGTCCGCCCGGAGGAGCATCTCACGGTCCGTCGCGTGGACCACGAAGGTGTAGCTGCCGTGCTCCGTCCCGACGTACCTCCGGACGCTCTGGATGTCCAGGAGCGAGAGCCTCCCGCAGGCGTCAGAGCTGTGTAGTAGGTGTGGGTGTTGTATTTGTAGATTTGCGGAAGGTTGAGCGGGTGTGCTTATTAATTAGTGTGTGTCCTTCAGGACTGTGAACAACGAGGCCGGAAAATTATTGGGTGTTATGCTGTAGGAGGTTGGTGAATGTTGTTGTTGATTTGCGGATCGAACCGTGGTTGGGCGGTGGTGCATATACATGTGTCCGTCGAGAAGGCTAGTCCTCCCAATCGGTACTTTGAGGGCGCTGTTGTGTATATGTTCTTGGGCGCGAACAGCGAACGAATTAGGTTTAAGGCTTCGGGCTCACACCGAGGTAAATAGACCTGACAAGTACTATTGTAGGATGGTCTGCTTGTTGCCCAGAACGCCTTGGTTTCCCACTCATGTAATGGTGGGAGAGCTAGCTGTTCATGTTTACGATACACTGTCTTGTCCGCCCATATACTGATTAGATGGCCCTCGTCGATGTTGGCATTCCAAGACCAAGGAGTTCGAGAAGCACTGAAAGCATACCGGGCGAGACAAAAAGTTAGGTGTCATCGCACACATCGGAGCCAGTCATCGAACACACCATGCGGTTGTACCCGGGGTGTTTTCTTCTTTCTGCTCGAGCATTCATCTGCCATCACACGGAGCCTATCTACTTGTAATGAGATCATCCTCAAAAGGGAAGTGTTATAAAAACACCTAGCCCGGTTAGCGGTCCTCTGTGAGTCACCCGGATATCCCGTCAGGGCTTCGCATACTGGCAAAAAATATGCGTTGTCATTGTACTAGGTGAGGGTTGCTGCTGCTCGACACCTCACGCAAAACATCGAGCTTCCTTGTCTCCGTGCATCACTCGAAACAACTGTTCGCTTACTGTAGATCTTTTGGAGTGCATGCACGCGGTAGCCTACAAGAAGTAGAACACAATCCCACGCCAGACATATTTAACTTCGGCAGAGATCGGTGATTGAAAACGCACCACGCTTACTGAGAAGAGCGGTTTGTCGTTATGCACGAGACATGCCTTCGTAGGTCCTCTTCCTCCTTACGTAACACTCTTGTATGTAGAAAGATCTGTATATTGTGGGTTTGGTCAAGGTTCGCTGGGCTCTTCAAGCCAAAAACACGTACGCCAGCGAACACGTCAGCTGTGTCAGCTTTTGAGTGTCGGAAACGTCACAACTGCGGGTCCTGCTGCCCGCTTTAATTTTCATTTGCATCGCCCCTTGATGACACTGCTTTCTCGTGAACCCACCCCGGGGGGATCCGTTGTAAGGCCGTAAGTATATGAGTATGCAATTCGATGATTTGTTGGGTGAGGAGTCTCTCTTTTCTTGGATGGGCAAATACATTGAGCCAGTGGAGACAGCGTATGGTTCAGCAAATGGTTCAGCGTGCTGCGGAACACTTTTTTTGTTTTTCTTAATATGTTTTATTCTTATCCGCTTGTTTTTCAGAGGAAAATTCCCAGGAAGGTGGCCCTGGAAGGGGCTGCACGCCTCCCTGGTTTTCGATGGGTATCAGGCTGTGATCGGCACGTTCTGCTGTGCATGAGACGGGCAGCGCTCGCGACCTTCCTCTACTGATTCGGGTGGATCGTTGGCGCTCTAACCCATCAACACAAGCACGTCGCCGAATGAAGTTTCTTTTATTTTCTTTGGCCAGCTGCTTCGACGAACCTTGGCTGGGGTTGCAAAGAAAATGGAAACAGACTACCAGAGCGAGGAGACACACTACATACTAGAGCTGACGCCGTTGTCTAGCTTCGACGCGCGCACAGCATTGTACATGCACCTAGCGGAGAGGGCCAGGGAATGAGCACAACCCCTTCCGAATTCAACACTTAAAATATAAAGAGGAAAATTTACATGTCTTGTCCCCCCCATCGCAGCCATGGCCAAGCTCTTTCTCCTGCCGCCTACTTTCCTCTGGGCCAAACCCAACAACACACATGTAGTCCAACGTACGGGGGGGTGTCTCACCTTGAGGTCTTATACCAGTTGAACGCCCCATCCTCCACCGTAAACCAGCGCCTATTCCAGGTCGACCTAAATTTGCGGTGCTCCCGCTTCATCTTGAGCAGCCATCCGCATATGATGATGGGCGTCTTCGACCCCGACGGCGTGTGGGCGCCTTCCTGACTCTCCCATGTCGGCACCGGGTAGCCTCCGAATGCTGCTAAGGCAAGGTTCATTGCTTCGCCTGGTGGGACCTCTTGAATCTACCAGCAGAGTTTGGTAGCGGAAGGAAGAGCGTAGCTTTTCTGCGAGCCAGCCCAGTTTTCCTGCCTGAGCAGAAGGAGCACTTGAGGCTGCAACCGCAGTATGTAGATTCGGTGTAACTTAGTATGGAGCCCAGCTAGATACGGACAACGACCCCGGTGAGGCTAACTGCTGTTGTCAGAATACATGTGTGTACAGAATCACTGAGCGTGTTCTTGGGGTGCCAAAACCTGACAGGGATGTGATCCTCTCCAGAGAGAGAGAGAGAGAGAGAGAGAGAGAGAGAGAGAGAGAGAGAGAGAGAGAGAGAGAGAGAGACTCCACACGCCCTCTGCGGTGTTTCTTTGAAGAGGTACAGCAGTACAGAGGTACGTTCATTGGCGACCGGTTCAAGTTCGACATCAGTCGACGCGGCGACGCGGCGCAATTTTAGCCGTTTCGCGTTTCATTCATCCGGAGGGGGGGGGGTATAGGGGCTCCGCAGAGATAAATGCTGAGCATCACAGCACAGGCAACGCAACGGTCATCACCCACACATGCGAGAGCGAGAGCGAGAGCGAGATCGGCGCCTACAAAGAATGAAGTACCTCATCACCACCCTGCTATGCGTTGTCGGGCCTTCCTCTGCCTTTGTTGCGGTGTCGCCGTGTTTGAAAGTATGCACACCAGCGAGTTCCAGCAATGACATGTTGCTCATGTCCCTTCAAGAAGGGCCGTCAAACCGGGGGTAGGTGTGTCGGTGTGTGCCCAGGATCGAGCAAATCTCTTAGACTCGCAGCAGCAAAAGACACCTAGTGTAGATTCATTAGTGATGCAGTGCTTGTGGGTTTTGTCTCTTGGGTGTGACGTGGTGCTTTGCCTCATCTGGGAGTACGGCTGTGTGCTAACTCCTGTTGCGTGCGGTGTTCTGACGGGGTGCCCCTGTCGCGTCATTGCTGACTACTGTCCCGTAGGTTGCATGAGAAAACATACCCCCTGGGACCGCTTTTCAAAGCCCGATTTCTCTGCAGCACAAACACACAGTGGCGATGCCGAAAATGGTGGCGTTAGAACTGTCTCATCGATAGAGATTTTGTTGTGGCAATCCTTTTCGCCCAGCAGAAAGCGAGGTTTGAAAAATCGGTCCTGGAGGTGTGGTATCTTACGCAACCGACGACATCTTACTCATGATCATGACGCGGGGTTACACGTACTTTTTTGTCACCGTCCTGTGCACTACGCATTTATAACAGCAACCGTTACCCTCGCAGTTTGTTTCCTGTGTGACGAAACCTACAGAGAACATGCAGCTTTACCTGCTGTAGTGTAGGGTCTCAGGGTCTGGTTCAATAGTGGTTTGTGACTCTATCCAAATTACAAAAGGTATCGCTTACATGTGATGATGTCTGGACACGAACAGACGCAGTGCGCTCGGCACGTTGGGGGGGCTCTCATGCACGAGCACGGCATGCCGTGTTGTGTACGGTGATCGACAAATACGCAACTTGACGATCGAACCGTTTCTGAATGGATGGGTGATGTAAGGTTCCACCCAGCGTCGTCTTCGCAGGAGCATGTGCGAGTTTAGAAGCCGAAATCAAACCATTAGACTGCAGCGATGGGTGATTTAAGCTTACAGCCAGCGTCTGCTTTCGCATGGCCATGTGCGAGTTTAGAAGCCGAATCAAACCATCATCGAGTAGTCAGATCAATCCAATATGAACTAATGAACTAGTCACGCTGACTAGCTTGTAAAAGTGCTTGGGGGTCAAGACCAGTTATTTGTCGAGTACTTTTGCAGATACACGGACCCAAACATGCACCCCCCGGCGTTACCTGCCGAAACATAAGGGCTTCCCCTGGGCCCCCACCCTCCTTGCAACGGAGTAGCACACCCTCTTCTTTTCCACCGGAAACAAGAAGTAACATAAACAAGGCGCAGCGTCCCTCCAGGCCGCCGATTGACCCCCCATTTTGTTTGAACCCGCCGCCATTGTTCGCGCTGTCACGGCTAGAACGAGGCGGGGGCCCTCGTGACAATGCGGCAAATGGCGTACCCCACCTCACCCCCGCTACATACGCTAGAGCGCTTGTCTCTTGGAGGGCCCCCCTCTCTCTCTCTTTAGTTGCGACCGACCGAACAGGAGTGGTCAACGGTTGCATGCCGAGTCTGGTTACCCCGCCCCACTCAATACCCCTACTCCGTTCACCGCATCGCTCTTCCCGTTGATTGGCCCCTATTTCCGCCCCCTCCAAACGCCCACCTATTCCAGCGAAAGGCCTGCAAATCGCGACCGGCACGTCGCTTGTACAAGACCTTACAGCAGCTGCGCGGGGGTCGGCAATCGCACGCGTGCCCCGTTTCACATTATCGTGCCGCGGGCCTACCGCCGCACCCAACAACGCTAGAATTTACCGTAACCCGAAGCCACCACCGCCGTCGCTGCTTGCGCTATAGAACGAACAGGTCCGGAGATGAACAACGTCGAAATCGTATCGAGGCTCAGTTTCTTATTCCATCGCCACTGCCGAGCACAGATTGTTATATAGAGTGTAGTATGGGATCCACCGCTGACAGCTGTGTTTCCTAGACCTTTTCTTTTTTCGTAAACGTTGTTAACGAAATATTTCCTCTCTGTGGGCCGGTTCTGTGCTGCTGCTGTCCGGCTGCACTTTTTTTTTGTTATTTTTCAGTGATTTCTTGTCCAGTGCCGCCGGCACAATCGCGGCCGCTGCGGGGCTGGGGATTGTCACGGGAGGCTTGAGGCCCGGAGCCGCGGTAGCCGATCAACTGGGAGATCTGGACGGGGGCGCGCCTACGCCCATGGGGGCCGTCAAGCTCACGGAGGGGGAACCGTTGTCCGAGGAGGCGGCCAGAATTCAGAGGAAGCTCGCGGCGCAGGTACGCCTATACAGCAGCATGTTGTGGGATTGGAGTACAAGGATCTGAACGGTAGTTGTTGGAAAGACGTTCAGGCTCGGGGAGGAGCCGCTACGGCAATAATCCCCTTGGTAAGTATATTGTTCTAGGGAGTTGCAGCTCCCGCCGTAACCTGAAAATATGACTACCGTTCAGCTGTCTGTGCAACACGTGAATCCCATAGCAAGCGCATCTTCTTCGCTGGATGTCTCGGGCTTGAAGGCGTCGTTGTAACGTTCAGAAAGGAGTTGCTGTTGTTTTCTCGAGCGTGGGTGGTGCTGATGCTGAAGAAGCAACAGCAGCAGCATCGTTGGCAAAAGATCCCCATTTTTGGGACTGCGATGACGACAAGCGCTGCACATCGTGTCAACAATGAGTCGCACCTTAACACCCCAAGTGCAACAACATCCAAGTGCCATCGATGACTGAGCTGTGGTTGATGGCATCGGGGATGAGCACTGCGGTCGACATCCCTCATAGACATCTAAGCCCTCCTCCCACCAACCAATCCCCGTGCGCACAAGCGTTAGGCGTGTATGACAGCACCGCTACTTTGGTCCTCTGCTGACAGAATCGCGCTCCTTCGGCTAACGTGTTTCGTTGTTCACGACCGTATCCAGGCCAAGCTCAACGGGAAGACTTCGTCGGGACAGATGACCTACGGGGTAAGTCGGTTCCGTCGCGGTGTGACTGCTGTTGTAGCACCCCCTTTCGAAACAAGCGATCAGACACTTGGAACGTCGTATACTGCTGTGCCTCTTTTTTTTTTTGTGGTAGATTTTGCGCGAACAACTCTGGGTACATTTTATGCTTCTTGCGAAGCGCTGGACGATTGCTCTCCCGCCCGTACATAGTAGGCATGAGGTGCTTGTTCGCGAGTGGTAAGCGTGAGGGAAGGACTTGTACAACACCTGTCCCGTCACGCAAGGCGGCGCGCACCGCAGAGGCGTTCTTCTATCTGTGATCCCCGCTCGGAGCTTGTCATTTTCAGAGGCAAAAACGTCGACGTCAGGTACCGCCAGCGATGGAAAAATAACGTGTTACAACGGTGAAGAGAGGGAATCGTCCTCGACGGGTTGTGATCTGTTGTATAGGGATAGGCATCTCCACATAACACCCAAAATAGAAGAAATTGTGACCGGCGAAAAAACAAAATCTAGCGGGACTGGCGCTTGGTCGCCACCTCTCGTTGTACCCCAAGTTTCCCGCATGATTCTTGGCTGTAGCACTGCGGGTGCCCCCAGCTTGCGCTCGCCTTGTCGATCGGCAGACAGCACCGCTCTTGAATTCTTTTCGCCAAGTTTTGTCCCTTTCTATGAAGTCGCCTTGACTTACTTCTGCCCAACCCTTGAATTTGCAACGAAATCCGGGAACAACAAAAACAGGAGTCGAGGGCAGCAGAGGGGGAGAAACAGCAGCGGCTGAAGGACGAGGCCAACGACAAGGCCAGGCGCCGGGCAGCGATGTGCGAAAACTTAGGGCGTGGCTGCTAGGGCATAGAAACTGTAGGAGACCAGCCAACGATGGATCGCTGTGCGTACAGCAAGGGGCTTGGTTGCCTATCACCCGGCTTTGCTAGTCAACATTGCTGCTGCTGCTGCTGCTGCTACCCCTGCTGTGGTTGTGGTTGTTGCGTCTGTGCGTTGTTCACGGCTGGCACGTTTCCCTTGGATGGGTGAAAAATACATGAAGACACTTATTAGTAGGTGGTGTTGTCGCGGGGTTCGTTCGTGGTCCTGGTTAGCGATCATCATAGTGACAGATTGATGCAGGAAGAAGCCATGGTTTATATTTGCGGGCTTGTCGCTGCTTGATACGGCATGCGCTGGTTATCTGGGCGTTGTGTGTCAGAAGGATACCTTCACTTGGTCGGGTTCTTTGCCGAAGGCGTTGAGAATAAAATGAAGATAGAAAAGCCAGGTCGCTTTGAACCGGAAAAGCTGGGCTGGTGTTGCTAGTCTCGAGACCCTCTTTGGCGTATGATGTGTAAATCGCCGACAGTCAATCCAGAACCCAGTTGGTGGGGAAAGATTGGTGTCGGACACCCGCGCGGGGTCGATGTCGGGGAGGAGATACAGTGATAAAAAGCACACGGAGGTGGTGGCATCATCAAAGGCGAAAAACTTACGGTGTGCAAAAACACAACTGCGACGTTAACGAAAAGATGGTGTTTTCTTGCTGCCAAGCGGGAGACCAACGTTTCTCAAGCACGCTACCGTCACGCGAAGACATGATGACCAACGCGCACAACTACAACTACGACAAAATGACATGCTCGTGGCAAGCACCTATTATAAAGGCATTGCTTCAAGCCAAAACCAGCACACAATCGAGCCGAGCTGGTGTATGCAAATTACTTCCCCGTTCATGAAAAACAGAAGAAGCAAGAGCAGCAGTGGCAGCAGCAGCAGTCGCAGCATGATGCCGTTTCTCTTCTCTACAGGCCAAAGAAGCCGAACGGGTTGCCCATCCCCCCCCCTGCGCTACCGCTACCCCACGGGCCCCCCTGTCCCGCTCCTCGGGACGTGCCTCTTGGTGGCTTATCGTACAAGCCAGCCTTGAAACGGCTCGCCACGCTCGGTTCCGCGGGAAGGATCTCAACGGCCGGGTTATTCTGCGCACAGCACAAGCGGGGGGCATCGGGGAAAACATCAAAAGAACAGCACCGAAAGGAGGCGAAAGGGAGTGCCGAAAAATAGTGGTACAAGAACTTGATTTCTTCAAGTGTGTGTACGCTTTTGGGCCAGTTGGAACCGCGGATGTTAGAACGTGGATGAGCAGAGACCGGAGGAACGTCTTGTTGAAGCGAAGACGGCAAGAAAGTTGTGCTCAAGGGCATGAGTGCTGACTATCCTAACACAGGTGCGTTCTCCTTTGTGCCTCGCCCTGGCGTTTTCAAACAAGTGGGGGGGCTGGTTGGCGATCAGAGTTAACCCCCTACAAACCCATGTCCGTATCCCCCCCCCCCCCGAGGGACACTGAACAGACACAGAGAGAGAGAGAGAGAGAAATAGCAGACATACCGGCTTCTCCTTCGGAAACTTAGGTTTTGGGGGAAGTAGGTCCTGGAGGGATTTTCGCTCTTCCTCGCTCCAAGCTGCAGAAGCCTCCTCGCTCGGGAATTCCACCACGAACCGGAGATACAAGTCTCCCTTCTGTCGTTCTCCGACAGGCATGCCGCAGCCCTGAACAACACGTTCGACAGGGAGGGGTGTACTCTCATGTTTTGCATGCCTTCGCGGTTAGAGAGAACGGAGCATTGTTCCCACAGGACCGACCACCGATGGCCAATCGTCCCTTCCTACTTTGCGGGGAGGTGGGTACTCATAGCCATAGCCATGCATGCCGTAGTTGTTAGACCATTGACTGAGAATTCCTACATAGCCGGGACGGAGCACGTCGGGTTTTCACTGGCCCAGGCTGTAGTACGTACAACATCAAGCGCGAAGCGTCGTCAGGTATTCGGCGAATCGCATGGAGGATTCGCTGCATCCTGCCAAGGGTGTTCGGCATCTTGTGCGTACTTCCGGAGGGGGTGTACTCATAGTCGTGCATGCCGTAGTCGTTACACCATTGACCTCGCATCCCTACAAAGCCGGGACGGAGCACGCCGGGTTCTCACCGGACCAGGCTCTCACATCACCAAGCGCGAAGCACCGTGAGGTATTCGGCGAGTCGCATGAAGGGTGAGCTGCATCCTGCTAAGGGTGTTCGGCATCTTGTGCTTACTTCCTTGCGTACGGATGACAGCTGCGTATGACTTAATTTATTTTCTGGTGCTTTCACTTCCAGAGACAGTTATAAGCACTGTGTAGCTGCCTCGAGGATGCTTCACCAATTTAACACAACGTGGTGCGATCATCCCCCTTGCGCGGAGTGAGGTTTCTCCACCCCGCACAACATGATCTACTCGACCACCATTATGGTTACCGCCAAATAAAAAACCAGAGGTAAAAAAAACAAAAAAAACGGCAACCTGGTTGCCGAGTTCACGAAGTGAATTGGCTTCTTTTACAACGTCGTTGCCAAGCGACGAAAACCCAACCCCGTACTTCCGGAGGGGGGGGGGGGTAAGGCCGTGTGATCTCAACTTCCCTACTTTCGCCGGTCCTGTAGGCCCTGCACCGCCCCCCCCCCCCCCCCCCCCCCCCCCCGGTCGCAAAAATACTTCCCCCCCCCCCCCGGAAATTTCGGGAGGGCCCGGGGGAAAAGACCCCCCCTTTCTTTCTCTTGAAAAAAAACCGCCGGGCCTCAAAAAGGGTGAACGGCCGCCCAAAAACCGTCAACCCTTTTGGGGAAATTTCCTGCCCCCCAAACCAAACCCCAATCCCCTGTGAAATTGGGGACCGGGGGCCGCCCCCCTGCCGGTGGCTTTGGGGATTTTTTTTGTCCCCCCCCAACCAAACCCCCTGGGTCCAGGGGAAAGGTGGGGGCGGGGGGGGTCCCCCGGTACGGGAGGGGGGTCTTGGCCCCTTTAAAACGCCCCCCAGCGGGGTTGACTGGCACCCAAACACTGTGTTTCCCACCCCCCCCACGGGAGAGTGTGGGGGAAAAAAATAAAAACC